GCCCACCCCAAGGCCACACCGTCCAACATTAATTTCCCCAAGGCCACGCCCACAAGCCACACCCCAAAGCCACACCCTCGCTAAGCCCCGCCCCCCGGAGCCCCGCCCTCACCGTGCGGCTGCGGGGGCGGGGCCGGCACCCGCTGCGCCTCCAGCAATTGGTTGAAGCCGTGGTCAGTGACCTTGAGCACGAAGCGTCCGTCAACGACGCAGTTCCGGGACTTGAGYCGCCCGTGGACAACGTCCCGATGGTGCAGGTACCGGACACCCTGGGGGACAGAGAGAGTGACCACTGTGGCCACTGGACAGCGCTGCGGTCACCAAACATGGGTGTGGTCAGTAAACATGGCTGTCATTATCAAACATGGCCGTGGACAATGTCCCCGTGGTGCAGGTACTGGACACCCTGGGGGACAGATTGAGTGACCACTGCATGAGCACCTTGTGGCCACCACAATGACCACAATGACCCAATGACCCCAATGACCCCATGATGTCCCCGTGGTGTCACCTTGATGAGGTCAATGAGAAGGGATGATTTGAACATCCAGTCCAGTTTCATGTCCTCAATGACCCCAATGACCTCCACACCCCAATGACCGCAATGACCACAATGACCCCAATGACCCCGTGGCCACAATGACCCCAATGACCCCATGATGTCCCCGTGGTGTCACCTTGATGAGGTCGATGAGCAGCGACGATTTGAACATCCAGTCCAGTTTCATGTCCATAATGACCCCAATGACCCCGATGACACCAATGACCCCAATGACCACAATGACCACTCCATGCCCACAATGACCCCGTGGCCACAATGACCACAATGACCACCATGTCCCCGAGGTGTCACCTTGATGAGGTCAATGAGCAGGGACGATTTGAACATCCAGTCGAGTTTCATGTCCACAATGGCCCCAATGACCACAATGTCCCCACCATGTCCCCGAGGTGTCCCCATGATGTCCCTGTGATGTCCCCGTGGTGTCACCTTGATGAGGTCGATGAGCAGCGACGATTTGAACATCCAGTCCAGTTTCATGTCCTCGTTCCTCAGCAGATCCTCCAGGCTGCCGCGGGAGCAGTGCTCGGACACGATGGCGAAGATGCCGCAGTCGTGGAAGAACCCGAGGAACAAATTCACGTTCTCGTGGCGGAGATCGCGCAGCTGAGCGGGGA